TTGAGGAGTAGCCAAGAGAAATAAAAAATAAATAAATAAAATTTATTCAACAAAAATATATAAAACAGCAAGAGTATTTTTCAGATTCTGATTTCTTGTGAATATATTTAGATTTCTTTTTTGTATAAATGTCGACCTCTATACAATCTACTCGGTGAATACATCGGAAACCTAGTTCGCTGATAGAGATGAATACACCGCTGGAGGTTGAGGAAATCAGATATTTGGAGCTTGAAGGTCACACGAAGAGTCATTTGTTTATCGTGCACGTCTGGATGCAGCCTTCGAGTTAGCTAGGTTCATCATTGATCTGTATTTTAAAGTATTTTATTGAAATAATAATAATAATATTAGATATCCCTTAATCTTATACAATTCTCACTTTAGAGCACAGATAAGGAATGCAAGCAGACATTTGTGTCTGAGCACTAAGATTTTTTTTTTCGTTTTAGAAAAAATGTATACATGCTGCCATAATCAAAAGTACTGTGTAAATTCTAGGTGTCTTGAAACATAAAAACTCAAATTTTGAGGGCTGTTAACTTTTGTTTGTTTTGTTTTGTTTTTTCTTGGTCGGTTACAATGATTGATTATTGAAAGTAATAAACTAAATATCATTATGTATCCATTGGAGTTTTTACATAGGAATCGATACTTATCTCGGTTTTCAGAACATCTATTGGTGACTTCGACTTCTAGTCGACTCAATTAGAGTTCATTGCTATTCAATGTACATAACGGACATGTTTGTAAGTTGTAAGCTGCTGCTTGTGTATGAGCTGAAGGCATGGATACCCTTGTTTGGAATGGATAATCTGTAGACTCCTCCCTTACATCCAGACCAAACCACGTGCTAAATCTAATCGTAGGGGAAGGGAGGTGGAAGTGGAGGGGACAGTGTATAAATATTTGGCATGAGAGAGGACTGGAAATAAAGCCGTGACCGGAGCACTGTAAACCACCAAATCCTAATTGAATTATTGACGGGCCATGTTAGGGCCTCCCCACTCATAAATTTTAATGCGTTTCAAAATTCATTTAATGCCCGGCTAGCCAATCAGGTTTCGCCAGGCTGCATAATACATAACGCCGGCCAGCCATCAGCTGTTACCTCCTCTCCCCCCTTACCATCATCCCCCTCCCAACTCCCACCCTCCCTCCTCAAAGTCATCTATCATCGCCTCTGCCGAAGAACTTTAATAGCCTTACTTGACTGTTTTATGACTGTTTATAGAACTATAATTAATAGGTATTAATTATTTTTAATTACCTTTAGACATATTTATGCTTTTTTGAGGCAGTCACAAGAGTTCATTGAAATCATGTTAATTGTAAAAAAATTAATCGTAAAAAAAATGTTTAACGCTAAAATAAAGATTATATACTGGCAATATTTCCTTTGAAAAATAATAATTATTGTGCAAGAGTGTAGCCAGTTAAAAAAAAATCCCTAAACGGCAACATTAAAATGTAATTTAATTTATGTAAAGAGTAGCCTTTTTTCGGTAATTAATGTCTTTGTATATGTTGAAAAACCAACAATAAACCATTCGTTCAAAATTAAGTCTTTCAGCAATTCGTTGTTTATATATATTTCTTTTTTATTTTACTTTGTTTTTATGGAATGTAGAGCAGTAGCTATATCATACTATACCCTCCCCTGTTGAAATTTTGACAGAAAAATGCCACAAACATTTAGTTTTCGATTATTATTATAAGCACCATATGCATGATTAAGCTGTTTGATTATAGGAGAAACATTGTCTCTATCAGAAGAAAAAAAAAAGTGACATTCATGTCAAATATAAATCAGACTGTCTGGTTGAAATAATAGATAAATATCATTGGTATGATAGCCTTGAACAATCGTAATCAGTGGATCGACCTGCATGCGAATCATGCAAATTAAAATCCAATCCTATTACTCCACATTTTATTTGAATTTATTTGTTGATTTATTGTCTTGTTGTAACATGTGACTAAAAACGTTTTTGAGCGCTACATGTCTGGTTTTGAAGTAGAAAGAAGTTGGGATAGGTGTAAGTTTCTGGGTTCTGAATAACGATAAACCAAAAATTAATTTTCAACTCTTAAAATAAAAAAAAAACTCTTTACATAGGATTTCACAATAATTTACACGGACATATTAATCAGAGATATGGCTTCAGCTGACATACCCATCAATATGAGGAGACTAAAAAGGCGCTGGATGAGAGACCTCCTCCCTTGACAAACCATGGTAAATGATTCAAGCAAGGGAAGTGGTACTGCTCGGTGCTATCCTTGCATAAGCCTGACATGTCAGTTTCATTACTTTAATCAGTCCATCTGCTGATTGTCAACAGTCTACAGGTGCAGATTAATATTCAAAGATAAAAAAAAAATAATGGAAATATTTAATGAAATAAATGATTGAATTAGAGAGGAACATAAAACCTCAAGAAAATATTTGATCTTTTTTCCATTCCATATTCCATGGAAAATGCTGTAATAAAGTTATTTAAAACTTAACTTATGTAAATTCGCTCTCGCTCAAACTCCACTGGCTTTGGCACCAGTGACGCGGTTGAGAGAGTAGCGTAGGGATCTCTGGGAGTCCTGCTTTTCCTTCTATAGTTAGAGGGAGAATTCTGGCTTAGGGTTCCCTGCCTAATTATATGTAGGTATGACTGTGTTTTTATTTTTTTTTAATTTTCTTATCTTTAGGTTATTTAATTTTTTTATTATACATAGTTTTTAATTATTATTTTACTTTTGTTAATTTTATATTTACAGTATATATGGTGTGAATGTGTCCATACATCACTATAATCTATCGTCCACGTGACAGATTGTTATAATTCGAAATAAATAAATAAAAAAAATGTATCTATATATATATATATATATATATATATATATATATATATATATATATATATATATATATAAAATTCACAAATCATTAAATAGAAATATTTCAATCTATCTTTCAGCCTATCTTTCCTTGTCACAATTGAGCTTCTGCTTATAAATCAATTTATTAAAATAAGAAACATAAAGAGGAAAGAGTTTATCAGGGGTGGAGGTCATAAAAAAAAAAAACTTAAAGTAGTGAACAAATATTTTATTTTATTCCAACGTTTCGATCCAACTATGCAGATCTTCATTAAGGCTAGAACGAACTATATATATATAGAAATGAAGTAGTTACAAGATATTTATAAAATTATAAACTGATTAAATAGAACAGATATAAAAATATTAAGATCATTAAAATGTAAACTCAGTAAATGAAGTATTAAGAACAAATTCTTATCAATTTTATTGATACTGATTTTATTGACTCAGTGTCTGGTTACTAGTTACTTATATTTAAATCCTTTTAATACTTCGTTTACTCTGTTTATATTTTAATGTTCTTAATAATTTTATATACTTTTTTTTATTATTTAATTTTTTCTTAAATATTTTGTAATTCCTGAAAATTCTGTAGCCTTTGTATCTTATTCGTTCTAGTCCCTATGAAAAAATCCATAGTTCGTTCGAAACCTTGGGAAAAAACAAATAGTTTGGATTATTTTAGATTTTCTTTTAATGAATTTGAGTTCTACCAGTTGCGCCATCAAATTAATTAGGGGGGCACTTTTTGACGGAGTTTTCAATTTTTGAGGGAAGCTCATTTCGACGGGGTTATGAATTTTCAAAATAAAAAGTTTCAAATCAAAGGCAGAGTGGAATCATGGAACAGACAACATGATGTGTGATGGTGTCTATCTACGATTATTCGAATACTATTTTCATTAGCTCTGGTTTCAAGAAGAGAGGAATAAAATATCTTGGGAGGGGTGGTAGAAGGTTTTTTGGGCCATCGGCCTTGGGAGGGAGGAGGAGGTGGGATGGACACCCCAGACTGAAGGTGTTCAGTTAGAGGTACTGAGTACTTGAACACCTTCAGTAGTGAAGACATGCCCTGGTGATGGGCCACATGCTTCGGTCGAAACGTCAGCAACAATACAAATCTTAAGATGACTGCTTCCTGATTATTTATCAACTATGAATGTAGAACAGTCAACTAACTTTTATCAATGATTTATTCATTTTATAATTGACCTATTCCTGTAACGTGAAGCCACAATGCAATTGGCCTGAAATCTACGGGTTAGCAGAGGTTTTAAGTTATTTCTATATATTTCCATTTTAAATGAACATCATAATTTTTTTTTAATGTTTAATTCGGCCACCAACCCTGTAATGGTTTAAAAATATATATGCAAAGTCGTCGTCGCCGAGAAATAATATCAACATAAAACTGTTGGGATTTAGTGCCGGTGCTTCATAGCACGCAACATTATGCCCTTAACTTAATAGACTGTTAAATAAAAAGTCCTAGTTGAAAAAGTGGCACGATATTAAAGGTGGTCTTGGAATTTAATTTATCGGGCGGTTGAATAATTTAATTACTCTTTCTTCAGCCGTCATATAAATTTTAAACTAACCCATTTGGATTGCGGCTCACCGGCCCGCTCCATTGAGCTCAATTATCGGTTGAGAACTTGGAGCCAAGCTTATCAACTTGATGGGGATTACTGCTGATTGACAGGGAAACCACGCAATAATGGCCCTCGTCAATGATTTAATTTGAAATATTTTGATCTGACATCGTGGAGAGGATTATTATGAATTTATATATTGTTTTTTTAATTTTCAAATAAAAAATCTTGATCTCTAAAATGCGCTTATGCGAAACAAACCGTCAATGTTTCAGCAAAGAAAAATTCCGTATCATCTAAAATAAAAAAACATCATTCATTAATAATCCAAAAAAGACTTATTAACTCACAACATCCATGAAATATACTGAAGGAAAATGAAGGTCACAGACATATACTCGGATATAACTTTATATTTATTAACTCGGAACTCGGAGACAGAGAGAATTATGAATGGGTTCGTAAAGTATGTCAATGGGACCTTGAGACGAACTGCTCATCAACTTATCTATCGTTAAACATTTTTATTTATTGCATCGATGAGGAGGACTCTACGAGATACGCAGATATTGTCGCATTTCCCAAGACAGGAAGGCATCTTGGATCCGACTGTCCGCTCTGAGAGCAATGACCTCGATCAGGCGAGTGAAGTGGAAGGGAAAAGAAGAACAGATACAATAAATGTATCCCTTTCCTAAAAGAGGAATTCCGGGAGACCTTCGGAGAGTGAGAGTTCACTGTGAGAGGCCTCTGGTTTGGGTCTCGCGGAACAATTCCAAAAAGTACAAGGAGCTTCCTCGAGGAACTAGGTGTCGACATTAAGGACGTAGTGAGGTTGGCTGAAAATATAGTCCTCGACTCCCTGGGAATCATTCACCACCACGTGCATGGCTAGCCCGAAAGTTTTAATTTATGTATTTATTTATTTAATGAAAAATGTCTATTATATTTGTTTCGCATTAAATTTTAAGAATCTTAATATTGTGTATAGAAGAGGTGTGTAAAAGAGAAGAGAGAAATGAGAGAAAGGGAAATTAAATGTTAAAAAAAAAACATAAAGCATGAAAAATGAAAGGGTAAAATATATTTATTATACTCATATAAACTAATCACTTCTGTATATTTATATATAAGTTTATTTATTGTCCTACCGATTAACGAGTATGCTGTATATATAGCAACCCAATATCATTGGGCAGCAACTTTTTATATTTTATATGAACATAAGGTGTTTCTCTCTCTGCTTCTAGACAAAATCGTTCAGAACTAAATCTAAAGCTGTCCGTGGCCTTGTTTTAATCATGTAATATAGACACATCACAATCATTACCTTTTTACATTTCAATATAAAGGCTTCCTACTTATGTCTTTAAATAGAATAAACTGAACGTTGTATAAAACCTTAACGACATTATCCTATTGCCTGAGATTAACTTGATGAACTTGACACGTTTATTATCACTTAAGAGCGATAAATATCATCAATTATTGATGTTAATAGAAATTAAGGCAATTACCGAGGAAGTATCTAAGTCCCTTCGGACGGGCTTCCTGCCGAGGGACATCCTGGCTCCCATGGGCATCACCTAACGAGCTTAATGTTATTGGGATTAGAATTGGGACCGGTGTTTTACTCACCATTTCACTTGAATAGTATATATATATATTTTCGCTCAGGTATATATATATATATATATATATACCTAAGCGAATATAGTAATTATTAATTTCCAATTTAAAAATTTATTATTCAAATTTCTTCGTAATACTAAGTTAAGAAATTTTATTAAATGATAGTTTGCAATAATGCATAATTGCGAGCATTTTCAGAGTTGCACACAACCATATCACTTTTCAACTTATTAATATTTCTGGGCATAGGACTGTATAGAAAATTTACCAATCCGCTTATACCATACTCGATCAGTTTGGAAAATGTCTCATCACGTACATCGCCTTCTTATGTCGTCGTCTTTATCCCTTGAGACGAAAGTATATAAAACACACCATAAAAGTGTATCATACCGTATGCACTTCAGATCCGGATCGCGGATATGCAGCGTTGTTTAAGAAGAGTTGTTTTAAGATACCATGGAAGATACGTGGGAATAGTCGGAAATGAGCTTGCAGACGTGGCTGCTAAACAAGCCCTCGCTATTCCTGCCCGTGGTAATGCTATCCTTTCAACTCTATAAATGAGTCTTCCTCTCAAAATGTAAAGCCCTGTGCCAAATCAAACCGTTCTAATCCCAGAGAAGAAGTCGTCTCGACTAGGTTGAGAATAGTTCATACAAATTTGACTCATTTATCCTTATTAACAAACAACCACCTCCAATATTGCATTAGCCCTCGCATTTTCAGCCATATTTTTTATAAATTCCCCTGTTACACCGCAAGCTTAAATCGATTATCTCTTAGACCGGATATTTCAGCTATATTAAATAATGACGAATCTAATATAAAAACAGTTGTAAGCATCCTTAAAACTCATCGACTATTTAACAGAATATAGAAATGTATATAAATTTAATTTTTTTTTTCTGAGTAGTTTCTAAGCTCTAGAAAACAAAAATAAAGAACAAACAGAAGTTGATGATCCTTGAGTATGCCTCAAAGCCCAAATGAACAAACAAACAAACAAACGATGGAGGATAGTCCAAAAAATATTGAAGTAGGAGAAGTCTTGTTCATTCATAGTAAAGCACACAATATTTCCGGAATTTATCAAATAGAGACATCAAATTAAGCTACTTCATTAAAATACTGTATCATTCAAATTGGTAAAAAAACGTAATGATCTTTTCATCAATCATTAAATAATTATCTTGACATCTTGGGCTTAACTGCTGAGAAAAACTGGGCTCTACTTCTTCTTTGTGACCAATTTCACTCAGTTAATGGCTGAAGAGAACCCTTACTACTGATTTTTTGGTGTACGGATGGAAAATTAGTCCAGGTTATTTTAATACAGATAGAAGGAGATTGCTTTCTGGACGACCATCGGACCGAGGAGGCGAAGAAAAAACCGGTGGCCGCCTTGAAATTAAGACGTGATATCATGCTTCTTGATTTTATTGACAGCATATGTATGACGCAATGTTGTCGACACCTGTGTTGCTGGGTGTCAGAGAAGGTGGTTAAATAGACAAAGATTTCTTATGAAACCTTTGTTTCAGACTTCAATAGCAGCACTAAAGTTGCTCAATTGCAGAAGACGGTACTAGTTTGGTAACTGTAAATAGTGCTAATGAAATAGCTACTAAATAGTGAATGTACGTTTCTTCATAAAAACGTTTCTATCACTTTTGCTGTGTTAGATTATCGTTTCTTTAACGCTTTCCTTGTATGCATATAAGATGATTTCAATTCATATCTAGAACGTATGCATATTTTCAGAGCTATAATTAATGCTCCATAGTACGTCACAAACATCAGTTTAAATACAAATTTCACGTGCAGCAATTAACGTCGACCTCCAGACACTCTTGAAACGATTCCACAATATCTTATACGGATATATTAGTACACTCATACAAATCATAGGCTCAATTAACATGGCTGATGATACGCATAGAGGGCTTAAAAGAAGCAGAATGTCATTTCTTAAATAGGAAGTGTGCCTCTGAGAACTTTTCTCCCTCGCGCCTATCGATGCCTTCCTACTTTTATTCTTTTTGACAGCATACTTACTGGTTTAAGTATTTTTGCAGGTGTGGATGAACATAAAGAAATATGAACCTTTTTTTCAATTATTTTATTCAAATTTCCACTATGAATACATTTTGAATTTCAAAATAAAACCTTTCGAAACGGTCTGTGCTTAGAACCAATGATTCTCGCTATATTTCCCTTATTAACGCTTATATTGATTACCGATTAGACTGGATATATCGGTGAGATTAAATAATAATGAATAAAAGCACTTATAAACTTTCTTAAAACCGAAAGGTTATTGAACAAAATATAATAAGGCATGAAGTTTTTATTTTTTGTATATTGTTTTCTCTTATTTATTTTATTTTAAAAAAGTAATTACACAAACGCGGAACGGATTATAAACTAGAGCAGCAAACACAAAGAGAAATGGCCAATATAATCAGTAACAGAAATCTTAAACAAATGCTTATTGGAGCAAAAGCGTCTTGATAAATAAGAATGAGAAATTAAGTACTCTTGTTAGTCATTTATTTTTGTTTTCTGGAGTTCAAAGATTCCTTAGAAGAGAAGCAAAAACATAAGAGAAAACAATATACAAAAATAAAAACTTTATGCCTTATTATATTTTGTTCAATAACCTTTCGGTTTTAAGAAAGTTTATAAGTGCTTTTATTCATTATTATTTAATATCACCGATATATCCAGTCTAAGCGGTAATCAATATAAGCTGTAATAAGGGAAATATATCGAGAATCATTGGTTCTAAGCACAGATACTTTCGGAAGGTTTTATTTTGAAATTCAAAATGCATTCATAGTGGAAATTTTATTAAAATAAATGAAAAAAAAGTTCATATTTTTTATACCTTCATCCACACACGCCAAAAATACTGAAACCAGTAAGTATACTGTCGAAAAGAATAAAAGTAGGAAGCCGTTGATAGGCGCGAGAGAGAAAAGTTCTCAGAGGCACCCTTCCTATTTAAGCGATGAGACACTTCATTCTGCTTCTTTTAAGCCCTCTATGCGTATCATCAGGCATGTTGATTGAGGCCATGATTTGTATGAGTATACTAATATGTCTGCATAAGATATCGTGGAATTGTTTCAAGTGTGTCTGGAAGTCGACGTTAACTGTTGCACGTGAAGGTTTTTATTTAAACTTATGTTTGTGACGCGCCATGGAGCTTTAATTATAGCTCTGAAAGTATACATACGTTCCAAATAAGCTTATATTCACACAAGGCTTGCTTTAAAGCAACAATAATCCAACACAACAAAAGTGATAGAAAAGTTTTTTATGAAGAAGCGTACTCGTAAGCTATTTATGTTTTTGCTTCTCTTCTAAGGAATCTTTGAACACCAGAGAACAAAAATGAATGACTAACAAGAGTACTTAATTTCTCATTCTTATTTATTAAAACGCTTATGCTCCAATACGCATTTGTTTAAGATTTCTGTTACTGATTATATTCGCCGTTTCTCTTTGTGTTTGCTGCTCTAGTTTATAATCCATTCCGCGTTTGTGGAATTACTTTTTAAAAATTGCTTAAGTATACTGTTCCGTGACAGAAAATGGGGAGGGTACGTGATGGACTAAGTTGGTTTGGAGAGGAGTGAATCAGCCAAATGAGATCTAGTCGCGTTACATTAGCCCTTTGAGCAGGCCGTGACCGAGCCGAATCTGCATCGCTTTGTGCACTCTCTGTAACCGCACTCCGTGGATAATTGGTCCGCCGGTATCCCCGCCCCAGTCCCACCCGACTGTATATGGTTGAACCTCTTCCCGTCGGTTTTATGTATGAACAAGTTTATGGTCATGCATAATCGGTCTGAAGTTATGCAAAGTGGCCTGATCGCTATGATTTAATTACCATCTGAATAAGCCATAAATTCCTTCCCTCTGTATGAAATATTGAAATACGGAAAGTTACCTTTGATACTATGTCATCATATGTGCAAGGTAATTCTAATTTTTATTCAATTTTTGCAAATCGTTCATGAGAGTTGCCCAAAATCGGTCTTGGTCTTGCACTTTGACCAAGACCAAGGCCGCCTAACTGTTGCAAGACCAACACTAGAGCTGATAAAAAAAATTGAGACAAAATAGTTACTAATACTCGACAATTTTAGTTACTATAGTTAATAATTGATTGAACCAATATACTTTTGCATTTAGCTACTCTAAATTTTCATTCAGGCTTAGTCAGGTTTCCTCTATCTAAAAAATTAAAGTAATATCTCTATAGTAATAAGCTAATAAGTAACTGCAAGACTGTTGCGAGACTCATGCGCAAGAACATAATAAATGAAGTAATGCGACCATGAAGTAATAAATTTTATTTATTAATTTTTTTACTTTACATAAAGGCCATGGGCCATTTGATAAGTGTTTCCATTAGAAAATTTACCGTTTTTATTTTAAGATATTGATAAACAACACCTTATTCTCCCATTGTAATCAAGCTTTACTAGTTACTCTATTTGCGTTGCTAGTTGATCTTATAGTAGTCTAGAAGGAAAGTCTGGATTCTTTTCTTTCAATTTCCTTGTCCATTAAAAAATGTGTTGCGAAGAATAGTTGATGTTTTGCGTCAAACGAGTACATAAACTTTGAAATTCGGTTTCCCGGTAAGGTATAAAACCACGGTCAACCAACTCTGAGTTTTTACCAAATTTGCAAAACCTGAAACAAATTACTTTTATTTGCCTGTAACTTGGAATAAAGTTTCTAAGAGGAAAAACTCATAGTATCAAAGGTGTAGAGCTTCAAATTTCGCGTTATACTCAGTATCTCTAATTTAAGTAGGTCACTTGCTGCGAAAAATCGGGTATTCTCCAGATGGATAGCTAATTGGTAATGAAGGTTAAAACGTGATTTTCAATATTCACCAGTATGGGTGTCTATTCTTACTGTGTTTGTTTTGTTTTAATGTTCTGTTCAAATGCCGTTAAGCCGCTTTTCCCCTCTCTACAGCAAAAGATTTTGGGTGAACGATTGTGCCGAATGATAATGTAATAACGAATCCGATTCGAGGATATTAATTGGCAAAAATAAAAATGTCAGTACCCAGTATACGCAAAATTTGATGCTGTTACTACTTGGTTTTGGGTTCTTCACTTAGGGAACTCATTTCCAAGTTACAGTGCCAATTATAGTAACTTGTCCCAGTTTTTGGCGAATTTGGAAAACACTAATTGGAAAAACTTTTCCCTTGGTGGCCTGCGTTAACAAGTTACGTTTTTTCTCCTTGTTTCAAACCCATATTATACAAGTTAAAAAAATAGAAAATGACTTTTCTCCACATTTTTTCGCATGGTATTTCCCGTATCGTTCTCAAATTATTGGCCTAATATTCTTTAAATCAGCCGCCATTTTTTAAAGCAGCGGCTCCAGAACGGCAGACAAGGTTTTTTTTTTACTCAGAATAACATACACTTTCGTAATTTACAATCAAACGTATGAGAAACCCCATACATCGCTCCACGACGATTACATGGGCGGTGGCCAAGATACTTGCTTAACTGATCTATATCCTTGAATTGTTATGGGACGCTAAATAAATAAATAAATAATCAATATTCTTCTATAATAATTTTGGTTACAGTTAATGCCTATATGTTTCAATTTCTATTTAATCATTGATTGATATAAAAGTCAAATATCTTGGAAATAGTTAATTTCTCTGTTTACAGTCTGTTTTTTCTTTTTGTTTTTTTTAACCAGGCCTTTCACATGGACTGCGACTAACCGAAGTGCGGATAGACAAACACACCGTTAAAGGGAACATGACTAAGCTGGAGTGCAAGTTCGACCTCCAAGGAGAGTCCCTGTACTCGGTCAAGTGGTACAAGGACGGCCACGAGTTCTACAGGTACCTCCCAAGGGACATCCCGCCTGGGCAAGTCTTTCCCCTCAACGGCGTCAGGGTCCTGGTGAGTATATTTAACTATATTTTATTGATTTAAAATCAATATATATGGTCATGCAATGTATATAATATATTCCTCAACAGCAGGGCGAATCTAATGAGAGTCAGGTGACTATCGGCCCGTTGGAGCTTTCAAGCAGCGGGCGTTACAGGTGCGAGGTCTCCGCCGAAGCTCCTTCCTTCCAGACTGTGTCCGATCATGGCGACATGCTTACAGTCGGTAAGTCCAATTTTCATGAATGTACTATTTCGTAATTTACAAACTAATAACGATAGTACCGTAAGATTGGGAGTGAGAGTGTAACTTAGGGACAACGGGTAAAATTTAGTTTTTTAGCTCATTCCGTGGTGGATACAATGTGTTGGTTCAGTCTACATGGACAGCCCGTGAACAGAGCTACTACCTTGCGACACACTACTCTTGAGTCACAAGCGGATGTTTCATAATAACAAGAATTTTGAAAAAAAGCAAAGTAAATAAATAATACCTAACTGCACAACGAGTGTATTGAACTGCCGCAAAGTTCTCAAAAAAAGGTGCAGTTCTCAAACTCAAGGTAGTAGCGCTGTACATGCCTACATAAATCACGTTGTTGCAGACTGAACAAACACGGCGTATCTATACAGAATCATCGCAAACTAAATTTCACTCAATGTTCCCAAAGTTACCACATCATACGGTAATCATTCTTATTGAACTAAAACATAATTAAATTCGACAGAAGGATGGCCTGGGGCCCAAACGTCAAAATGAAAAGAAAGACTTTGAACAAGAGACTGAAAATATTATACTCCCTGTTTTCTAAATCAAAATTGAAAATTAGACAAGAACTAAATACATGCACTTACCTGCTCAAACCCATTTGGACATACGCAAAGATTTACGATTCAGCAAAAAAGACTCACTTACAAAAACTACAATCCTTTCAATCAAAAATTTTAAGACTAATAACTTGCGCTCCCTGGTACGTCAACAAGACTTTACATACCGACCTAAGACAACCAACGATTGACCAGCACATACGTACTCTCTACTCCCGATTTCATTCTGAACTACACGGACATCACAATGGACATGGCCACGGCTGAAATGCTCATCAGGAGGCGACTGAAAAGGAGCTGGATGAGAGATCTCCTTTTCTGATTTTAGGATGTAAACAGACCAGGAAAGAGGTGCTGCTGGGTTCCATTCTTCGTCATGCCTATCATGCCATTTTCTACATGACCACCAATCTGCTAATTGTCGCTACCATGACAGGTGCGGATGAAAAATTGAAGACAACAAAAAAAAAATATTCAAATTAAAAAAATTGAAGTTATTTTAAGATTAATTACGCTTGGTTTAATTATTTTCATTCATTCTCAGATTAACTATAGGAAGGATCTAGTGATCTCATTAGCGGAGCGACAGCGCATGGTGGTGATGGGGAATATCCTCGTAGTCCTGATTAGGTCGGGAGGGGGGTGAGGGAGAGGTTGGCGGGAGGGGGAGGAGGTTGGCTCCGGGCACATAAATTAAAGAGCTTCCCAATATCCGACTGCTTCGGCACTAATCACCACCTAGCCGGGTTTGCTCAGCGGGATATCATCGCTCCATCATGGTTCCCTCTATTACTATCAGCTAAGTCAGGTGTTCAGTTTCATACTATAATATACACTGTTACGATAACTTCGAAGGGTTGTGAGTAGGCAATAATGAGTATGAATTAATGATGTTTTAAGGTTTGGATTAATGAATATTTGGATTTTTCGTAAACCTCAATTCTTTACTAATACCTCTCAGAAATAAATACGACCAGTGAGTATGATGCTGTTGCTAAGTTTTAGTGATAGAATCGACGTATGTAGGGAACAGAGTTTGTAATGCTATCTTACCCCCTCATCAAAGGGGTAACATTTAATAATGCTGTGCTCTTAGGCATAATTATCGGGGTTAATATTCCAGAAATATTTAATAAAAATTAATAATAAATTAATAAAACACTCATATTGATCACAACAGTCCTAATTTATTTTATTTTCTACAAAGACGTTTCAGCTCTTGGGCCATTTTCAAGGAATAAAAGCTGTTTAAAAAAAAAAAAAAAATAGTATTTGACTGATTAAGTTAGGATGACAAGAACAATACTGTCCAATCGTATTAAATATATTTTTTAAACAGGTAATGCAGGTTGAAACTAAAGATCGGAAGTGCATATTGTTAGCTAGGGAAACGTTCATCATTTTACATCCCATCATTGTTTATCGTCTTTGTAATGGGCTATTATTGAAAATTGTTTCTTAACGTGACGCCGTGTTAGAGAGGAGAAAAGGAAACCAGAATAGTGACGAAAACCAAATGATAACGAGTTTTATTGAAAATTGAACCTGCATACTGTAAGCGAGGGAAATGTTTAGCATTTCATCCTCTATTGATGTTCTTACTTCTACCGTGTGGTCTAAAGCACACACCTCAGTTGTTTTTCATGCCACTTATGTTTATAAGCCATTTCCGAAAAGAAATAAGTAAATAATTAAATAGATAATATTTTTTTTCATTTCTTTATGACATTTGCAACTGTATTACATAAATACATCAATTAATCGTATTCATCGTAAATTTGGACATAATTGATATAATGACATGAATACACTTGCTGAGTAACTACCCAATGGTAGTACTCTAATGATATGACTACATTATGAGATCACGGGGCCATCTTCTTTTCAGACGCCTCGGAGGGTTATCAGGAATTGAAGAGGAAGCAAGGTTAGAAACGAGAGGGTTGGGATGATTCTGAAGTTTATTATGGAAGGATAGGTATCTGGATTGGCCAGATCTGAAACATAAGGAACATTAAGATCTTTATGGATAATTTTATTAGTGACAAAGTAAGGAGCATTGAGGATTTTACGAAGGATTTTGGATTGTAAGGATTGGATGCGAGAGGAATTCGATGGTTTAGTGGAGCCCCATAGCTCAACTCCGTAAGTCCAAATAGGCCTTATTGTAGTCAAGTATATGAATCTTTTGTAATTAATGGGAGGTTTAGAGCGTTTGTCGAGTAAGTGCTGAAGTAATCGGAAACGTCGAGCGGTTTCTTGTCATTTCAGTCTAGTATGAGGATTCCAAGTTAGTCGTTTGTCCAGGTGGAGTCCTAGGTATCGGATTTGCTCAACAGGGATAAGTGGAGTATTGTTAAAGGAAACTGTAGGACAGGAAGTGGTTGGTTTACGACGAAGGGTAAAGGTAATTTGGTGGGATTTATTGGAGTTTATTTTAATTCTCCAGTTTTGACACCATTCTTCTAGATTTATGATGTGTGATTGAAGCATTTGGAATGCAATTGCTGGGTCATTGTTTACTGATAGGATACATGTGTCATCGGCATATGTGGTGATGACAGTGAGATAATAAATTTAAAAATGAAAAAAACTGTACAAACATGAATATATGCATATTAAAAAAAAAAAATCATCTCCCTGATTCAATTAATTTTCTCAAATCCTTCCAAATGGATCGATTCTTCTATAGTTTATTTCATCTGCATTGTAGCCATTGTAGGCTGGTTATTATGAAGGAACATTATTAACTTTTTTTCTCTTTCACTAAACTCAACTCACCTTCTCCAATACCTTCCCACTACAATATCTCTGTATCTTTGCTATACACAATGACCACACAATAATTTCCTTTTTATCTTTATTACAATAATTTCTTATATATCTTTCAAAGCGAGATTACGGACGCATAATCCCCGATTTCAAATCTTCATATCAACATAAATATAAAAGTATAAATCTTGATGTAAATATAAAAATATAAACCTTGATCATTTTTAAAGATTTTCTTATACCGTCGTTCACTATATGCTATAATTCCTAATGATTTTTTCTAACTCCAATTTTAATACAATCGTCGGAAAGACGAGTTACTGGTCTCCCAACCCGTTCCAATAACCCTTATGTTTTATGCCTTTATAAGGAATAAATAATGAAAAACTACTCAAACGTTTTTATAATATATATCAAGTTATACTTTGAGGAGGTCTAGTTTGTTCAATTTCGTGTAGTTCACGAGGTTCTAAATCTCTGCTAAGTTTTCTGGTTTTTTTTTTTTCAAAATAAAAACCAAGGGCATAATCCTAAAAATAATTGAAATTTATTTTAGGGAGAAACAGAGTTTATGTTCGTTTTTCAACACCCCTGAAATAATCTTTCTCTTTCTCTTTCATAGCAATCGAATAATACTATTTTGTTTTGTCAATATTTTGCCAACAGTTCAATTTTTTTTTTTTATGTCCAGCTGTTTATAGCTTTTTTGTTATTATTATACTCATAATACATTCTAAAATATTGATTGCGGAGAAGATTTTGTATTTCAGTGATATTCAACAGCATTTTGAGCCTACCAAAAACTTTGCTGAACATCATATAATTTATCTAGACTTACTTTGAGCTAACATACCAGACTTAAACAACGTTGGAGATCGCGTTGACATGAATTCAAACAAGTCACCTGATACGATTCTACACCCCATATGGGATGTTTAACATGTTTAACTGCATATTACACAATGATTTAAGCATGATTATCTTTGATTAATACATAAAAATTATTTTAATCATGTAAAATATATTTCTTCCTTTTTTTCACATGAAATATATTTGTTTTAGCTTGTTCATTCGAAAATAAAGAATTATTTATCATTATGGGTAACTACTCCCACCTTAAAACCTCTAATTTCAAGCAAAAGTTTTTTTATTATTATCTTATTTATCCAAAGCGTATAGTCATTTTTGTATCATTAGAGGCCGCAATAAGGTGAGGAAATGATAATGGATGCCACAATAATTCTTTATATTTGTATTTATCACAAAATACACACATTCACATACATAGGTTCAACTTAATTGTACTAATTTCGAAATTGTCATTATTTAAAAAATTTTAATATTAATTAATTATAGCACTAGATTAATAAATATCAGGCAGAAAAGTTTGGAGGCCGCATGTAGCCTCCGAGCACGAAACTACATCAGATAGGCCGCGGTTGCCCACCTATAATATAGGCCGGAGATGGTCCGGGGTTGCGGTCATAAATAGGCTAAATAGTGGTAAAACTATTTTATTAAAAGCCAACGTTTCGACCCGACTTTGCGGGTCTTCTTCAGGGTGGTTTGTTCATCTAGGAGTTTGACTTACAACTGTTGAGTTGAACTAGCTGAACACACCTCCCT